ACCTCCCCGGCAGCATAGGCAGGTCTCTCTCCGCAGTGCTCAATGTGAGTTAAGATAAACAAGCACATCTGTAGACAGGCCAACAGGGAACTAGACCTACTGGCGCAAACAGAACTGAAAATCAACCACTGAAGAGCAAAGGACACCCAACACCTCAAAAAGGAAGTGCCAAAGTGCCAAAATGCAGTCCTAAAGCACAAGGAAATGTGTTGACTAGCGGAAGTGAAAGGAGAGCTTAAATAGGAAGTGAAAGGAGAGCTTAAATATAATTAACATGCTCGACAGGAGAGATTGATGCAGCCATGACAAAGGAACGCAAAAATAGGGAAGAACGGCCAATGATAAACCTTAAAGAGCAAGCAATAAATTGCGAAGTTTTAAGAAAAGCAGGACAGAGAATAAAGACTCAACACTTAAAAAGCAATTTAGTGAGCTGAGGATTTGATGAAGGAAAGTCGACTGAAAGGAGGTATCACTCTGCACTCTAAACTCGTCTCTAAAAACTACATCAGATTAAGCTTAAATATTCTTCCCAAGGCAGCATTGCCCAGTTTTACAAGCACCCTAATAACTATTTATATTTCCATGTTTATGAATTTTAGAATATGAAAATGTGGGGGATTTCCTGGTTCGTTTTGCAAGAAAAAGTTTCACACAGAAATAACATGCACATGTGCATATAGGAACATCAAAAAGTAAGAGAACAAACTAACTGTGAGTAATTTCCCTTGTGAATCTAGAGGTTGAAAATCTCATTAGCCAGTAAGCAGTCTATTAGAAGAAAATGCATCATGACTGAATACCTCCAATCCACAGTTGAGAACACCCCAGAAATGACTGAATGAGTTGATTCAACTGAAACTAGATCTACTATACTAATCCAGCTGAGAAATTTAGTAGTTAAAAGGAAGTTATTAACAGCTCAGAAAATGCAATGGAAAACTTAAACATTCATGCTTAATAAGAACAACTTGCAAGCTAGGAATAGGGGAAGGGGCTCTGAACTCATTAACAAGTATCAAGAGTAAATACTCCAGTGCCAGAGAGACAGACAAGCTTTCTGTTTAGACCTGGATTCTTGGTGGGGGCTTTTATCTCCCTTTGTCCCTAATCCCTACACCCACTCTCTGAGAATTCATAATTCTAAGTTCATAGGGGTGTCAGGGTTCAAATATAAATGGCTATGCGAGTCAACAAAATTATTAAGGAAAAATAACAATGCGAAAATTGGTGCCAGGCTACTAATAGCACAAGACATTGGCAAATGCAGGTCTATCTACCCCCAAGGACAAGTTCCTCTGAAGATGACTCCGCCAACATTATAAACACAGAAACAACCCTCTCCGCGGGAGAACCCGAGGACAGCAAAGAACTAGAATACTAAATAGTGGTAGTTCTTTTCTCCCAATTTGGATTTCTTTTATCTTTTTTCTTGTTGAATTGCTCTAACTAGCACTTCCTAGCTAAAATAGTAGCTATGTTGAATAGTAATGGTGAAAGTGGAATCCTTGTATTGTGCCTGATCTTAGAGGAAAGGCTTTCAGTTTTTCACTATTGAATGTTAGTTGTGGTTTTGTCATAAATGGCGTTTTTTTTTATGTTGAGATGTTTCTTCTATCCCCATCCTACAAAACCAATTATAAATCTATGATTAAAACATTGGGAAATCAGAAAAAGTACATAAATGGGCTGATTTAAGAGATTAGAGTCCAGAAACATTTCCACAAATATATGAAAGTTGGATCTAATAATGACAGGAAGGATGAACTGTTTTTTTTAAGTTGCTAGGAAAAATAACAATGTATATGAAATTAGGTTAGCAAGGGGTTCTTAAGGAAAGAAAACATGGAAAGATGATTTGACTTTCAAAGAGGGGAAGGAAAGCACAAGAGATTAGGTGACAGTTCACAGGTGTCCTGCTGTGGGATTTTTATGGGATTACACATGAGAGGAGAAATCAAACAGTGACAAAAATGAACAACAATGTAAAAAGATATACATATATAAATATATATTTTAAAAAACAAATAAAATGCAAATTAAAAAAGACAATTTGACATTAAATTATAAAGTTCTGTGTGGCATCATAAAGTAGATATATAGGAATGTTTTAATTCTCCATATTTTCACATAAAAGTAAAAAGATCCCAACCAAAATAAAAAATCTATAAATAGTGGAATAAGTCTAATATGAAATTTGCAAGACCTTTATGAAGTTATTAAAATTTTATCTGAGAATATAAAGTACTTTAACAAAATGAAGCCTATTATGATACTAGTGGGGAAAATGAATTATAAAGTCTATTACTCTTAATGTATATACTAATGCTATTCCAATCAAAAGAGCTATACATATTTAGTGGAACTTAATAAATAGATTCTAAGAGTCACCTGGAATAGACCGTGCACAAGAATAATAAAGAAGGGAATGAATGAAGAAGTAAAAAAGGAAGAACTTACCTACAGCAAATCAAAGTGAAATGACAGTGAGAAAAAGAGCATGGTTAGTTGAACAGGCTTTTAGATCCATTATCCATACACAGACACCTTAGTATATGATATGGCATTTCAAATGGTGGAGAAAGGAATAAGAGTATTCAGCATTCTGGGGACACTTGCCTTTTTGTTTTGGGAGGGACCCTAAAATATAAATAATGGTAAAACTAGACAAATAATGACATGAACAAGCAACATTACAGTAGTATATCTACTAATGGCCAAAGAATATGTTAGGTTTTATAAATAATCAGGGCAATTCAAGTTAAAATATTTTCAACCACATGGTTAAAAACAAAACACCCCCAAGGTTGATACTACCTACTGCTGGCAAGGATGTAGAGAAATGGATCCTTTTATGGAGTGTGAATTGAAGGGAACAATTTCACTACATCCATTTAAATTAAAAATCTACATAACCTTTAATGCAGCAATTCCATAAAGACAGAACTGTAATTACAGGAATGAAGATGTCTTACATATAATGTTAGATGAAAGTTAGTTACAGGGTAATAGAGATAAAATAATCCCATTTATGTAAACCTCATATATATATAATATAAACCAAAACTAGCTTCTGTCATGTCTCCAAAAGACAGTGATCTAAATAAAGCAGGAATTTATTTCACTCTTAAATAACAAGACAGCAGTTCAATACCCTCAGGTTAACTTCTCTACCCTGTTGATCCCATGTCACTGCTTAAACCCCACTGACATTCCAGTAAACAAGAAAGGGAAATGACAAGGCTTCATAGAGTATACACCCAATTCCTTCTTTAAGGGTCCAACTCAGAAGTTCTACTCACATCCCACTGCTCAGTCATGGGGCCACGAGGGGCTGTAAAGAGAGGCTGGGAGGTAGTTACATGTCGAGATGGGACTCAGAGATCTCATCAGTAACAAAGGGGAAAGTGGATATTAGAGCAGCATACTCTAGTGCATATGTATGTCAATTTGTAGAAAACAATCTGGGAAATATCTGGAACAGGGCTAAGAGTAGTGGGCAGTCAAAGTATTGCCTGAGGTTGTGTTAATGGTCATAGTATATCCATGTTTTAACTAAGGAATTAAAGTTCACAAAATTCTAAAATCCTTTATTTGCAGTTGATACTGATATGTTAAATACATTAAGTCTATCTACATTGTACAAAATTTTTTAAGTAAGAAAAATTAGATTTTATCTAAAGGAATAAGTTACTCTCTACACTGTTAAAACCACTCCACTTAGAGTACCTTCCTCTAAGTCTCTCCACCTGGGCGGCATGACAGCCTTCACAGGTGTCCACACTGTCACTCATTCCAAGGTCACAGCATGCCAGAAGCAGGGCGGAGACAAGAACTAGGGTGAGGCCCACTGCTTTCACTGCATCACAACTTTCCATAGCATTTTCTACATGCTGAGAAGGCTACCACCTCTCCAGCTCGGTATAAGTGAGACTCAGACCACATAGACCAGATACCCAGACACATCACACCTGTGAACTGCATTAGCATTTCAATCTGAGAACAAGGTGGGCAATTTTCTTATTAGCTAATGATTACAAAAATACAAAAAATATAAGAACTTCTCAGAAACACAACAGTCATGAAGTTTGACTCCCTTCTTAGCCAAGTACTCAAGTTTAGGATCTTCTGACCTGTTTAGAAATTCCTATGATTTCTTGATAATGATGGCAGATTGAAGTAAAATAATATAATCTTTCTCTTCAAATACATAATGAATCACACACAAAAAAAACCCAGAAAAGTGAATAAGCCCTCAGAGCCCCAAAATGAAGCATAAAATCCTTGCGGGAATCATGATTCTGGCTACATGTGCCTCAGTAGAGAGATTCTTGGTCAAAGCTATTTGACAAAATCTCAGGATAGAGAGCAAAACCCAAATCCTCCAAGCATCACTGTGAGCTGCTCAGCAGAGGGGCTCCCCTGCCCACTCCTCTCTGCATCACAGGGAAGAGCATACAGATCTGGACACAGCGGCTCAACTGCAGGAAAAGCAAGGTATAGAGAAATGGCATGGGAGGAAGCAGGCGAAAAACAGAAAAATGAACGTGAAAAAAAGCAAGTCGGAGAAAACATGTGCAAGAAACAAGAAACAGACTGTCCTGTGACAGTAACAGAAGAAATAAAAGGAATACAATGCATTTGAAAAAAAAAAAAAAACAAGCTTCCGTGCCTAGAATGATAAAATAACCAAAAAATGGGGGGAAAAAGGCTAAGAAGACAGAGGACCAGGACATGAGAGAACTAGAAATGACCAACAGCCAGAAACAGAGGCAGCTGAAAACCAAGCCTCTGAAAATGGAGAGTCACATCGAAAGAAAGAGAAACAACAGGGCAGAAACCTAAAGAGAACAGTGAGGCCGATATAATGCAGTCAGCTTCACTGGCAAAGACAACTCAGAGAACCAAACAAAGCCAGCAGGAAGCATGCGCCCGCCTGGCAGTTACCCCGTGGTAACGACGGCGGCTGTGGTCTGCATTCAGGCTTGTGTGTTTGTGTGTGTGTGTGTGTGTGTGTGTGCACTGGTTGTGTTACGTGTACTTAATGTTGGTTCTGTTTGAATTTTTTTTTTTTTAAGATAACACATTTCATTTTCCTAAAACAAAGAGTCACTGTTAGACACCCTTGGCTTAGCCTAAAGCCAGTGTAAACTGAGTCCCTATAGCTTTCTGCAAATGCTTATCTTACCAAGCTATTTCATATTTTACTAACAGAAATACCTGGCAATTTAACAGTACCTTAAAGGAAGATCAATTACAAGCAATTATAAGAATCAAAAGGTAGCAAACTGATATTTGTTGGGGGTGGTAAATGATAAATTTAAAGACTTAAAAGCTATGCACCAAAAGTAATGCTATTATCAGAGTCTAAGGAAGTTACTGAACAGGTCTGGCTAAATATAAAAATCATTTTTAGCACCAGTAAAAAGAATTTTTGAGATTTCTGTTGTATAAACTGCTAAACAACCGGTAATGTGCTCCCTGACAGTATCTTTTGGGTATGTAAAGAATTAACCTTTCGGTCCCTGATTTGATAACATAATTCAAAGTACCAAAAAAAGGAAAGAAAACAAACCTAAGTATGTCCTTCTTTAGTCATTTGTAATAAAAAAATTTTAACTTTCAAAGAAGAATTTCTTCTTCCTTAAAGTTCTAATGATGAGGTAGATATTCCAAGTAAACACCCAGTGCAGCCAACTTCTGTTGGTAAACATATAATCACTAGTCAGAGTATTAATAATCAGAACTTGCTACTAGAAAAGTCCATTTAAAGTTCACATTGATCAGCAGTATTCCGGCTTCAGTTTCCAAATTCCTTCACCACTAGAAGTTCTATGAAAAGTACACAGATTTCTCAAGAGTTCTCGAAAGACACAAGACTGTGATGCTGATAACTTGGATTCAAATTCCCGCAGAATCTCCTGTGTGCTGGCCTGGCCATCAACCTGGGCCTGAAAAGCAATGAAGTTCCTCATTTCCACCAGAAGGTCATCATGTTCCGTGGTAGCTGTAGAGGGCGGCGGGACCAAAGCCTCTGGAAGGTGCACATTTTCACTTTCCAACCTTTCTGGCAAAATCAGGTGGTTTCTAGCTCTCATTTTAGCCAACAGGGAGGATGAAGTGAGGGCTCCAGATGAAGACTCTGAATTCTCTCCTTTTCCACTAAAATGCTCAGGAGCATTGTCTTTCCCGTCTTTTTTCATGACACCATCCTGGAGAAAGAAGACCAATGCAATTTAACTTCTGTTTATGATCTCTTACTCCTCCTAAGGCCCAGCGGGGGTCATAGGAACCCAGGTGTGCCCAGGGTGGTGAGCAGGTGGGGGAGGAAGCTCTGGTTAGTGCGAAGGGAAAGGAGGAAAGTTAAGCTTCTAAATGCACCTGCCACTACAGAGCATTTCAAGAGAAAGAAGAAAGAGAAAGAAGGAAAAGGAAACCTACTGTTCACCTCCTCACCCCTGAGTGGCAAGAGTGGAAGAGGGCAGAGGGATGGGGGAGAAGCTTCCAGACAAGCCTAAGAAGAGCGTCCTTTCTAAGTAACACTGCATATCTAGAAATGCCTATCTCTTTTCTGAGTGGATTCTAAGAGGATTCCAGGCACATATAGAGCCCATTGAGACCTAAACCAATGGTTTTCAGATAGTAAACATTCAAGAGATTGTTCTAATTAGAGTGAGGGAGAAGTTTTTTGTTGTTTTTTTTTTAAGATTAAAAAAAGAAGAAGAAGAGCGTCTTTAAGGAGACATAAAACTACTTTAAGGTTCTATGGGCTTTTCCAGTTCTCCCTTCCAAATTTACCCTAATTGAGGCATGGTGGGATAGGGAACAGTATCATGTCATGGCGATTCTACTATCTTATGCTTTCCCATTTACTTTAGTTACTTTAAAACGATAATACAAATCTACTTTGAAAGGCTCTTAACCCCTAATGCTAAAAGAACATAAACGTGTTGATCTTAATCTTAAGTAAGTCTGAACCTGGGGGGGTTTCAAGTTCATCATTAGCATAATGCTTAAACGGAGAGGACCAAAGAGCGCACTGAATGGTAGTCTGGCCTAGCAGTGATGCTCAGTGATGCACTCACAGTACTCCAGGAGGTATAGAACAGGAGAGATCCCACAATGCTTGGGGTTAGTAAATCACAAACAACATTCCAGGTGGCTTTCTACACCTTTATTCTAGAGAATAGACCCGGGGTGTCACTGCCAGAGGGGGCAGAAATTCACATGTCACCTAGCTTTTTGCTAACTTTTAGAGGAAGAAACAGATTCCATTGCCTACGTTGGGTTAGTTACTTTGTGTTTTAGCCAAACTTTCCTAGTTTTAAACGAAATGAAAGCGCTTCATAAATCTGAGCATGTAACACAAATACTGGGTGTAACTAGGCATCCAGTTCTTCACATCTGGAACTGGGCAAATTTTTCACAGCAATCAAGCAAACAAGTGTGGCATGTGAAAAGCTGGCAGTCGTACTACCTGGTACTTCTTTGGAGATGCTGAAGAAGGCTGCTGCGCAGAGAAGCTGGAATTGGAATTCCTTTTCTGACCAAACCTTCTCCTAAATAAGAAGGATCATATTAGATGAAATATTTGTTGTATGACTGAGAGCTGACTGATCTGCATGGTTATGCTTTCATAGCCACAACACTTCTGTTCTACCCCCTTTGTCTCCTGGGAAGCAATGCTGCACCCCCCAAAAAAACCTCTTAATATCTTTGTTCAACAAATGATGGAAACTACCTTCATATCCTAGCTAGGAAATGATTCTGAAAGAACATACTGAATGACATTGTAAGCATTTATAGTTGAAAACCCTTTGATTGTCTTATTAATGATTAATCATTATTCTGTATCTACTATTATTCTTAAGGTCCTTATCTTTCAGACCAAACAAATCATGTCCCCTCCCCTAAAAATTCAGCTTTGGGAAGCTGATTTGGAGTAACAACGAAGAAGGGAAGGTTACAAAATTATCCCCCTACATCTCACAACTGTGGCACGCCTGACTGACACTCCCAAGAGATTTTCTGCCACTGCACATATATTTGTCCACCTGTCCTGACATAATTTCCAGCCCAGATGGTTTGGCATCCTCACAAATCCTGCAGGGCAATGATCTCTTACTTGACTCCTGCTGGTGTGCCCGAAGTCCCTCTGTGGCCAGTCCAGGTGGGAACACCAGAGCCAGCCCCCAGACATCTCTGCCTGGAGAGCCTCAGTGCCTTCAGCGCATCCTGGGCCACTCGGTTGGCCTCTGCCTCCACCAGGGCGTAATCGGGAGTGGCCCCATCCATGATTGCGTCGTGTTTCATGACACTGTGCACGCCGACTGCAGAGAGCAAAGGAAACAGATGTGACGTTTCCGTCTGTGCACACCATGTTCTGTGTTCTAAATCAGTGTAGCTGTCTTCTACATCGGGAACTCTTTTAGCTGCTCTTTACCAAGTTGCTACTGTGACCCAAGAACTTTCGAATGCAGCTCCTATTCACCTTCTTTACTAGTCTAAGAGGCAGAGTCTATTAACTCTCCCTGTTTTATAAAGATTAAAGCATAGTGCTTTAATTACCACAACATTAACATCATATCTTCCCTACTATGTAATAATTTTAAAACCTTTTATCGATACTCTTTAAAATATAAAAATATAAATGAAAAATGTAATGCTATAAGCCAGAGATAACAGAATTTCTTAGAAGTAATAATTATAAAAACATTATATATAAGAATTTAATACAGTGGAAAATTTAGTCTTAAAAGTTTACACCAATAAAAATGAAAGAATAAAAATGAATTAAATTCCCAAGTCAAAACATTTTACAAGAATGACACCGAAAAAGCAGCTGAAAATTTGACGGTGGAAGAGGTGTGGGAACATACACCCGAGGGGTGAACCTATTCCCCTAGATCACATACCATGGTGTAAACCAACGTGACAACAATTAAAAAATAGGAAGCAGCAGCCAAAAAAAAACACACCTAAATATCACAGCAAATACAGACAAGAAGGAAGAAAGTAGTAATGCTAAAAAGAATATGAATAAGACAGAACAACCTCAGGTCAATTAATAAATAAAAATTCTGATTTATTGAAAAAAATTACCAAACTACTAGCTTACTCAATGAAAAGGGAGGGGAGATACATACAATCAAAAATGAAAAGAGGGAAATTATTGTGAAACAAGCAAATTCAGAAAACTATTACAAGAACAGTGTTCTATACCTCCATGTGTATGTTTGAAAACTAGACAAACTGATGATTTCTTAGGAAAACAGACCAACAGTTGGAGAAAAAGGTGAAGTTCTCAATGAACTGACTACCTTACAAAAAGCATCGGGCTGAAACGGCTGCATTCTGAAACGCCATTCACAAATCTGGCTTCTTGAGCAAAGAACCACAAATAGCAGCTTTGGCAACTCAAAGCCACCATGCTGCCAGTGCCGGGGTCTGAACCAGGGGGCACTGCCAAGATGACTACCCCGGGCAGGACTAACCCAGCCTGTGGTCACACCACCGCGGATCCTGCTTCTGACTCTTCCCCCGTGATGTATTAGCAATCACTCCCCTACCTCTGGAGTTACTCCTTGGAGTCACGCCTCTGCCCCTCTCCCCCACGATACGCTACTTTAATTTCCCATGGTTGGAAAATAAAGTGGATACAGCACATAACATTCTCTGAATGTTCAAGTCGTGCAAATGTTCAGGTCGTGCAAATGCATTTAAAACATCACACCTTCCTGTGTGTGGCTGTGAGTCAAGTGCTATCATTCTCCAAAGTTATCAATTCTTCTAGGTCTTCAGAAAAGAGATGACTGTGAGTTTCAAAATGTCAATACATTTCAAATCTGAATTTCAGAAGAAATAAATACTTCCAATTCAGAGCCCCTTCTGCACTGGCTGCTCTTGCTAGAAGCCACCCCTATGGGTTGTGTTCCTAGCACACCTGTGACAAATTCAGTGAAAGGGTTACCTGATTTTTTGAAAAGCTTTTCCAAAACATAATCATCATTGCTGCGTTCCTTGGTGTCTTTCTCATTTTCGTGGTCTTGCTTCTGGTATTGCCTTTTCTTCACTAAATGTGGAATCCGAGTCCCTTCAAACTTGGCATCTCTGCGATGCTTCTTAGGCTTTTGCTTTGGCCTGATGTGTTTCTTCAGGGTCTCTTCTTCTGCTACACTATGTTTTGTTTTTGACTTGTGCTTATAAAAATTATTTTCCACTTGTTCATTCCCCCAAAAAGGTCCTGCTTGAATCTTGAAGCTTTCTGCTTGATCAGAAAGACCTTGCTTCTCATCAGTGCTCTCTTCCCCAGTGGTCCTGCTGATTCCTGGAGAATCTGAACACCCCCCACTTCCACTTATCACTGATGCCTCCTCTAGTCCCAACACCGCCTTTGTCTCTTCTTCCAGCCCATCACTGCTAGTCAGACCGCTAAGTGTCTGAGGCGCGTCTTTCAAAAGATCACCCTGATTAGAAGTTACTGCCTTTGCTTCAGCTCTGGTAACGGCAGGTCTCTCCTCAGATGGTGTGGCATCACTGGCAGGTGCACTAGGATCAGAAAGCTTTTGGCACACTGAGACATTATGGTCTGTTCCCACGGCTGGCTGAAGTTTTCTTTTTAACTGGCGTTTGGGTGTCTGAACATCTGAGCCAGTTCCTGTAAAGGGTCAAACACACTAATGACACATCGCGTACTTCTTACACACGTTTTGCCTTCGGGTCAACTATTTTATGTAATACCTGCAAAAATAGCACTTGTTTCAGTGCTCTGGGATGCATCAGGACTTGTCAGAGTAAACAGTTCGTAAAGATCATTGGACTTGAAAAATCGTCTTTGCTTTGGATCTTTTAGTACTCTGTTTGTCAAAAACTGTTTGAAGATTTGTCTAAAAAGGATAAAAAAAAGCAGTATGAAACAATGTTTAGGTCTATCTCAAAATTCTAATCAAAAAATAATATAAAAGAGATGACAACTGTATGAATAGCAAAATAATCCCAACACTTTCTGCCTTGGAAAATTACAAATCAAAAATTGTGCATAGAACATCAGGTGGTCACCCATTTTCACAGAAATTAAATTAGAAATGAATGGCAGCTCTCCTGTAACAACACGAGCGCCTGTTTCTCCTTCTCCTAACAAACCTGTCCTTTTAAAATGCAAAAAAATAGAAATAATGCTGCATCACATATTTGCACTTGGAGCATCCTGCCCAGCTTGCACCTGCTGACCCACAAATGTCGAAGCTGAAACTCCACACCATCGCCTCTTGTCCTTCTCCACAAGGCAGCCCCGTCCTGCTCACTCATTTGTTGTTCAAGCTAAGGTGTGTATCTCTAAGAGGATGCTCTTCCTCATAAGATTCGACTCATGTCCCACATTCTGTCAATAAGGCCCGTGAGGAACATGTGCCATTCCAGTGGCCCGATACCCGCGGAAAGCAGGGAATCTCCCTTTGGGAGCTGGGGTAGGGCTCAAGAATAAAATCTTGCCAAGACGTTGTCAGGAGCAAATAGCAGTAACACCACTCTACTGTTGAAGTTACTCTTGTTTAAAAGCTCCTAGTTGTTACCGAGACAGATGGAGGAAGAAACAGGTATCCTGGTGAAATTTACTGTGAGGAGCATCTGAGCTAAAAACGAGAGGGACTCTCCCCTCTACCTCTCCTCACACCGGTGTGGCATGTGTAAATCCTAGGATGTGAGCCCTTCAACTCTGTCACTTTAAAAAATACATTCTGTGTACAAAATGATGTAAAAATAAACATATTATAAAAAAAAAAAAAGAAAAAATACATTCTGAAAGAAGCTGGCATCCTGTAATAGGTAGGAACATCTCTCTAAGTACAATTAATAGGAGGTTTATACACAAGCAATGCTTTAAGTTTAGTAAGGTAGAAACATGATCAGGTCAACGACATTGTTTTAAAACATACAATACACTATTTAAGCTTACTTTAATGAGAAAGGAAAAACAGAACAAATTTCAGAAAGCCACATACCCCCTCAAGTAATACTACTGTTGCTCTAATGTGGAAAGACTTTTCAAGGCAATACTATACAGAAATCCCTGCTTGAAATCCTGGCAGCAAATGCCTACACCCTGCACACACCACACCCAGGCCGCAGATGCCCTCAAGCAGCAGCGGCCTAATGTACTGACCGGTGGTAAATCTTCTCCTCAATGGTGCCTGCAGTCAGAAGCCTGTACACCGTCACCTGCTTCTTCTGGCCTATCCTCCATGCTCGCTCCCGGGCCTAGGGCAGAGAGAGGCATCTCAACAAGGGCCTTTTCCAACAAGCTCTAACTAAAAGAAAGAAAGACTGCTGGTTGCTTCCTTCCACTCTCAAAGTTAGCATTTTGGTTAATGAGCCTAACGATTCCTAAGGCCACTTAAGGAGGGTAAACAGTCAGAAGACAAAAACAGACCCAGACTATCTAAAAAACGAGTGTGTGACTTCACAAACTCTTTTTACTTCAGATCTAGTGGCCAGGCAGCTGTGGATAAACTGTTCCTGTCTGGGTGACTCTGGAAGGTGTCCACGCTGAAGTCTAGATGAGATGAGAACTAGATGCCAAAGCAGTCACAAACTCAGAAAGACACCCCAAACATCAGCCTCTAAACCCTATCACCAACACACTTCTTTTGAAAAACAAACAGACCTGCGTATCTGTGCTTGGGTTCCAGTCAGGGTCGTAGATGATGACTCTGTTGGCCCCTGTCAGGTTGACTCCTATGCCACCCACCCGAGTGGTGAGAAGAAACACAAAGATGGACGTGTCCTGGAGGCGAGACAGACACACTGAGTGTGCACACTTAGACTTGGGACAGCTCTCAGCCCTGCTGCTATAAATTCTACATGAGGAAACCTGAAGCCAATATGAGAAATGGGCTATGTCTGGAGACTTTGGTCATTTCACAGCTATCTCAGTGCTTGCTTTTAAAATCAATTATGTCAACGATCCTTAATGTTGAGTCTTCAAAGAAGGAATGAACACTCTTTGCTTAAACACATACACCCACACCCCTAAAATGCAGAGATTACAATCAAAAAGCTCTCCACACCCCCAACCCGTGAGCACTGCTCCCTCTTCTCCGCACACACTGCCGCCTACTTTACTGTCACATTTACTTGTTACCTCGTTGTATCTTGTAATCAGTGGTTGTCTTGAGGCTATAGTCGTGGTGCCATCCATCTTGAGATAAGAATACTTTTGGGCTCTAAGGAACACTTCAAGTATGTCCAACATCTGTTTGAGAGAGGGGATGATAAAAGCTTTAAAAGCAAATATACACGGCAACAAGTGCTTCTGCATTTGTATAAACAGTCACACTTTCTTCAACAGGCTTAGAGTAAAAGGTTTTCTTACTCTGAGGTAGATAAACCTAATTATTCCAAGATTATTTTTGGTAACGCCTTGCCATTCTCACACATTCTAAGGATAGCTGGGATGTCAACTGAGTTCGTGTCCAAACTTGCCCATGTATCAAATTCACTGAGCCTCTTTTGAAAAGTCAACTGCTTAGAGAAAGATCCAAATTCCCAAAGAGATTTGCAGGTCACCTCCTCAGTATCAACAGTGTTTGGAGTCATTATTATTTTAGATTATTTTCTGTCTTTTAAATTAATGTCTATAAATCCTAAAGAACCAAATTGTTTCTTGTATGAGGTTGATGTATTCACCTGTCTCGACTGAGAAAACAGCAATACTCGTTGACCCTGCTTGTGCCAGATTTTCAACAAGGACTCAACAACGATCATTTTCCCAGAACGTTTCCAGTATCCAAACTGATCCTCCTCTAGTTCACCATCTGGAATGCCTTTGATATTCTTCGGGCCTCCAGAAAAGAGGTCAGGATGGTTGCAGATTTTTCTTAGGGCCACAAGTCCAGAGAAAATCTATGGTATAAAGGAATCACGTGCACTCAGGTTACAACCATGTAAAACAATACTCATTCGGGAAGGACGGAAAGGAGGCGGATACACAACACAGATTACAAAGCAGCACTTCACCAGCTTCTTGGCTTCCTCCCTGATCACGTCATAGAAGAAATCAACCTTCACTCATCTTTTTTCTGAGACGGCAAATTCTCTAGCATTATATATCTGATATAAGAAACTAACTTACCCATTCATCTAAATTTGGAGAAATCAGATGTGTGATTCAACAGATACATTTAATTAAATATTTCACTTCTAAGCACTATAGCTTTAGCTTGACATGAGTCAGAAGTTGGAGTTACATTAGTATCACCCCCACTCCGTGAGCACCCCCACCCCGTGAGGGATGGAAATTATAGCACAGGAAATATAAAGCACGCTCACACAGCAGGCCACAGGAGACCCAGGGTGGGCTCCTGTCTTCCCTGCCTCAGCAGGACGGCACCTTTCTTAGCTTTCAGAGCGTGCTCAATCGAGCTCACTAGTAAAAAGCTCAGGCAGAAAAAGATAAATCATAAATCAAGTTAATAAGCAGAGTATGGTGGTTTCAACTAGTAAATGAGTTAAACAAACAGTAAGAGACCTGAATAAATCAAGAATATTGTCAAGCTCCCCAGGGACACCTATGTCTCCTTTTCTTTCTCTAGGCCCATGCTGTCCTGCCGCGTAGTGACCAGCCACATGGGACTACTGGGTGCAGGAAGCCTGTGATGCTTTCCTGGTCCAAACTGAGATGCGCTGCCAGAGTAAACGCCGATTGTAAGACTTGCCACAGAAAACGAGTAAAGTGTCTCAATAACTTAAAATTTTTAATAACATATTAAATTTGAATTGTTTACATGAAGTTTTAAAGGTTTACATAAAGGCTGGTTATAAACCTGCTACCTATGCTTATTTACCCATGTATATTACTGATTATGGCCAATAATTAGAGAGTTTCTACTTACAGAAGCGCTTATAGTAGTAACAACTCTCCCTCCTTGCACCTGTAGCCCTGGCAGTCTGCGGTGCTTCCCTACATTCTGCACCAGATGAGCAGCCCCTGGGAACTCAACATCGCAGACCCTGGTATCTAACGTGACATTCTCCCACCGGACGATGTTGTGTGGTAGAGCTGCTGACAAAGGGGCGTGCTGAAATTTAACCATGTCCTCTTGCTTCCGGAAGGTCTTCACATTCAGGTAAGGTTCATTGCAAAAGCTTTCAAGAGGATAATGGCAAACCCATGACTACTACACATTTCCTTTCTTCCCTCACTTCCCTTGCTGCACGACACATTTCTCGAGCTTCTATTAGTTAGCTGACCTGCATGTCTCCATTGAGAATTCCATAAACTTCTTTGGAATCAATGAAATTTTGGTAGACTTTATGTTGCTCATCTGTGAGACGGCAAAACAAGACCTACGGGGGGAGAGAAAAAGAGAAACTATCATCTAAATATAAAATTTACAGACTAAACAAATTAAAATGTCAACATAGCCTCCCTATAGAAAAAAGCACAATGTATGCAGCTAGTACTGTGGGCCTCTTATTTAAAATAACGCCAGATCCCAGGGATGCACGGAGCACAGCCGACTCCTCTCAGCAGCTCCCTCCACCCTGTCACCCATCCACTTCTTGGGCCCCAACCCATGGTCGCCACAGGCCCTGAAGATAGGCTTCTGCTCCCAGAAAACCTCAGGGCCAGCTGCACAGACCTTCTTCCGTCCTAGCCTCCATGCCCCTTGCCCTATTTCAGCCAAGCTTGCAAGGCAACTAAGCCTCACCCGGTATGTCTCCTTTCTGGAACAGTTCTAAATGCAGGTCACCAGTTTACCAAACACATCAGCAACTCCAACTGTCCCAGCCCAAGGCACCAATTACTCCAGGCTGCCATGCTCCCTGATTTTCTCTCAACCCTCCTCTTTCGCCAAAGTCATTACTGCCACCTCATGGTGACTGATGCCTGAGCTAGTCATACTCCCAGATTATTTCCTTCATTCGGCCCTGTGCCTCCCACTGCACCTGCCCTGTAAACTTCCATATATAGATGAATGCAGTCACTTGCTTGTGCTCCTTATGCTGCTGGAGAATGGAACCATCTGGGCGGGACACCACCGCTGCCCGGCCTCATCTCCAGGGATCTGCACTCCCTGTTCAGCCCTGCAAACTCAGAAAAGCTCAATCACCCAACACTCCTCACCCTCAAGACTTATGCCTCAACTTCTACTTAAATGCAATTGAATAAAGCAATAAAAAGTAAAAACTGAAGACATCAGGCATGACAGCCTAGCTTCTCTACTTCCTAATACTTATCTATTCCTTCTTGCTCCTCACCATATTTCCCTTATCCTCAGAGGAATAGGCTCCTTTGGTATCTTCACTCGACCTGAAAATTCAGTCTTCAAGGGCCCCTCAGACTGCACAGTGTAAAGGGGCAAACTCCCTGAAAGGATTCTGTACAAACACCAGCTCCACTTCCTCATTTTCGAGTCACTTCTACACTCAGCAGAAACCCAGAGGGCACTTCTGCTGATGCCACTCGAACTCTGGCAGACAAAGCCAGTGATGACTTCGTAGCTGCCAACCCGTGGGGTGCCTACGGCCTCATGACTCCACTTCTCCACGATTCTACTTCCCTACTCCTGCCTCCTCCACTGCTGTCTCCCATACACCTGGTCTGTATCCAGCTGTGAACTGTAGCAGAAATGACTGGGGGCTTGAAGAAATTGAAGAAGTTTACAACGAGTAGTTGTAAGAGCACTGTGTCAAAATGAGAGTGAGCTCAAAGCCTCCAGGCTGGGGGGAAAATCCTGCTGAGGGCTGAGTTCAGGGACAGCTACCGATCACACTCGGGTATACACAGGTGTCCTAGCCTAGCCATCTGCACTGGCAACCTCACCCATCAATCTGGTGAATTCTGCACGCAAAAAGCAGAGAGAGTGGACAGGTACACTGTGCTTTAGGAATGTTTTAGTAACTTCTGGATTTACCTGTTCATTTTTATCAGGCAAAGAAAGGCTCATTTTGACATCTGACTTCATTCTGCGTAGCAGGTATGGATTGATGGTATCCCGCAAGACACACGCACACTTATAGGCAGTTTTAACCTTTAACAAGAGACAAAAGGAAACAATTAACTCTATGTCCATGAAATTCATTTGTTGTTACCTCTCGATTACCAAAAGTAAAAGGAAAAACCAATGGTGGACACCATTAGTTGGAAATGGCTGAACAATGGCTTGGGAAAATTAGTGTCACTTCCACATACGTCAGGAGGTGGTAGCTTTCATAATATCTGTGGAAAAGCTAATCTCATTAACTAAAATGTACAACAAAAGAACTGATAATTTTGTACTTTAGTCCTTTTCTATAATTATTATTACAAGTTAAATGCTAAGTTAGAGATTTATTCAGTTCTCAACCACCCTCTAGGGAAAAAATTGCTTTCAAGCAAATTTCTGTTTATAACCTGGTCTTCACCAAAAGCTACATAAAGGAGCCGTTACTCTGCAAGACAGAAGATCAAAAGCTAACTCTGGGGGAATGTTGCAGCAATGGGAACAACCAGATAATAAGCAGAGATTACTGCCCACTGGAGACTCAGGAGAGAAAGTTCAAGAAAAGCCCTTATGATCCCAGAAATGAAAGGTCACTCTAGCCTAAAATGCAGCATATGGTTCCATAATGGAGCATAGCCACATGAGATGGGTATTAACTGTACAAAGAAAAACAAAGACCCACAGTTCAGGAAACCACTCCCTTTGCAGTTCACTTAAAGGCAAACAAAGAATTCAATAAATTATTGATACTTAAAAAAAAATCTAAAAAGGCTTAACAAGCTAGTAAATTACTATTTAATGGAGCAAGAAAATTTCCAAAGTTCGAATTTTAAAAAGTCAGCTGTAAAATGAATTAACAATGATTATCAATTTAATGATAATTACGAGTTTGACCATAATTAATACAGAAAAATTCATGACAAAAAATTAACATGGTAAAAAAGAAAACATGTTGAAAGACTATAAAAACCTCACTCAAGTATGCAGATATGTATATGCATGTAAGTACATGCGTTTATCTTGTATGTAAAAAAATAGGTTTTACTTGGTTTAGCAGATAACAAAGTTCAACTAATCAGCAACTCTGAATTACAGGCATTCAGACATTGATAGAGAATTACTTTTAAGATGATAATCCGGTACCTTTTATGGTTTGTAATGCAGAGGTGATTAAATTTCTAAATTTAACAGCATTACAGTCCCACCAAGGAAGCAAGCACACTGCTCATTTAAATTCTTCCTACAAATGTATACAGTATGTTAAGGAACCATCATCACCTCTACCCACATTTTTCGACTCCAGAGGAACGAGTGAGCTGGCTGTGATGCTGCAAAACCACGGCTGGGCTGATGAGAGGCCAGCCTCTCCACCCCTCCATTGAGTATCTCTCCCTGTAGCCCACGCTGCTCCTGGCCCAGTTCAGTGAACTGACAAGGGTCAGAGCCCAGAGTGGCTAAAGACAGGTCTGTTTTTCTGAGCCAATTCTCCCCAAAGAAAGAGGTAAGTTCTAGAATGGAATGTGAATGGAACAGCAGGGAAGAGTCAAAAACCCTCTTTTAGCCTTCATATCAACCACATTCCCCTAGCCAACTTTTTGCCAACTTTTTTAGGGAATCCTGGGCTTCGGTAATCAAATCGGCTCTGTATTTGATTCCCATCCACCTCCCACGCCTGCTTCTCTGTGAGTAAAAACAACTAAGGATCCAACTCTATTTCTCTCTATCACTCCCAACTCCCAATATAGTGGAAAATGGGTAACTAACTGAGCATGTCACGCTTCCTTCCTATTTCTGACATGGTAAAGCGGTAACTGCATCCTCACTCTGCCTCTTCCAGAGGGGAACGACCTTAGGGAAGTAACAAATAAGGCGGCCAAAATGCTACAGCCAATAACCTTGTTGTTGAGGAGGTTTAACTACAACAGATGACTCCGCAAGTTTAACACACACATCTGAGAAGCTCTTCACATTTTGGGAGTTAATGCTCTGCTCCCTCACCCTTCCAGGTCCCAGCATAGTCATGTCACCCCCAGCAAGCCTTTCTTGACCTTATAAGCTCTGCAATCAGCTATCGCCCCTGCTCATAAATCTGCAATCATCTGTTTTTTACCACTTTCCCCTGTACACACTTCCCACTGGACTGGGAATACGATTTAAGGGAAGATTCTGGTTGCCTGCTACCTCCCATCACGTTAGTTCCTGCCTGATACAATATGTATGTGCCCAGAGACCATCTTCTTGGGATTCAGTAAGCCCAACAAACATGGACTTAAATGAAAGAGAGCAAATAAAAGCAATACCTCTATGCCAATGACCTTACAGTATAAACAATAAAAAAATAAGTGCAGAAACTCCTGAATAAAGGGCTTCAAGGAGGAAACAGACTATTTATTAAATGGCCTCAAGGTATCTCCCCGGAAATGACTTATTAATTCCAAAGAAGAAGTAGAAACTTCGAAGAGCTCAGACTTCTGGCAAATAATACCTTATGCACATAATCAAGTCCATCACCAATGAAAAGGATAAACCAACAGTGCATGCCTCCAGGTGTGAAGCAGTGAAAGACATGCACTTCTGTGATAATCTTGCCCAAAGTGCATAACCTGAATCCAATCACAGAGTAAAAGGCTAACCCAAGTGGGGCACACTGTACATAGTAACAGGCTTGTAGTCTTCAAAAATGTCAAGGTCATAGCAACAACTTTAATAACTTTAACATTTGAGACTGACTGTGTTATAGTGAGCTTTTTGTAAGGGTGCTCTTCCTCCACTGAATCCCTTTATATTTTCTGTGTGTGAGAGAAATCATTTCAAACTTGGAAATTTACAAGAATAATTTAAAAAACTCCTATATATGCTTCACCTAGATTCATCAAATGTTAGAACTTTGCTTTATCTTTATCTTTCCTCCCCTCTATCAACTCTATATATGGACACAAATTTCTACCACTATTTTTCTGAATCACGGAAGAGCAAGCTGCAGACACAATTCCTGTTTCCTCCAAATCCTTCAGTGTGTATGTCTTAAAGGAAGCAAGACATTCTCTTATGTACTCTCATCATCAAAATCAGGAGGAAACTTAACCCGCATATATTTCTTCTTCATACAATCACCCAACGTGGCTGCGTCAGGCCATCCTGCTATAAAGCCCTTGCTCTTCTCAGAATCAGGTGATGGGAGTCTTCTCATCGTCTCAGTCTTCCTTAAACGATTCAACCCTCATGGCTTCCCCTTTTTTCAGCTCTTACACTAGTTTGTCAGATGCCCTCTCCCAACTTACAATGAATTATGCTATCCAAAACTGACACATACCTGTTTCATAATTTGATTGTTCTTGAATATTTTATATGACCTTTAAAAACTCATCTGGAAAAGTATGACCTCTCTAGCAAAAACAATCCTGTGATTTTTATCAGAGACCAATTTATAAGGTTGGACTTTCCTTTGTATTATGAATGACTTGGCTACAAAGTAGAGTATTGGTAAGAACATTTTAAATATTAAAATGCCAAAAGTGTTACCTGCACTGGAGAAGCATTTGAGTATCCCCCCATAGTAATGGGGACAGAGAACTGCTCCATAAACACAGGCAATGTGCCCAACTTCCCTGGGAAGATGAAATCAAAGAGCGACCAGAGCTCGCGGAGGTTATTTTGCATCGGTGAGCCAGACAAGATGATGCGATGAGGGGTGCGGAACTATTGGGAAAGAAATTATCTCTCTTTAAAATTTAAACTGATGGTGGCCCTCCCTGGTGGTGCAGCGGGTTAAAGCACAACACTGAGAAGCTATAGCCACTTCTGCATGAGTTCGATTCCCGCCTGCCCTGGAGGTGACCACATGGTGCAGCAGACCTCTCCTGACCCGCCCACTGCTCCCCTCAGCAGTGTACTTCGTCGATCTGCCTGTTCTGCTCCCCACTCTGTCTCTGGTGAAGCCTCTCACCGACCCTACACTTGCGGCCTCTACCCCAGTTCTGTATGCATAAATAAATAAATCTTTAAAAAAAAAAAAAAGAAAGAATAAAGAATTTTCCGCATTAAATGAGACAAAATGTATATTTCAAGTTCCTTATGCAAACAGATAAGGCAAGATTCAACTCATGCATTACTAGAAGCTAAGCATTTACTCTCAACTACATACTATTATCCACCTGAAAACCCTCCTTGCTATAAGACGTCATTACCTGTTTGCAAGCAAGGGTGATAGCAGCATTGGGATTTCTAATTTTGTGTCCTTCGTCCAAGATCACATAATGCCAGTCATGCCTGCTCATGTCATCTTGCATCAGTCGAATGTAGGAGTAAGAAGTGATCAAAATTCCATGACAAAGAGCAATATCTCGAATTAGTTTCTCCTAAAATGATGATAAAATGGTAAGACTTTTAAATAAATAAGCATGACTCCAAGTGACAACCTTTCAATCATGATACAATCTAATGCACTTTATAAACATGCATACAAACATAACATACAGCTGCTACTATTATTATTAGCACTGAAGTTGATGTTTCATTAGTCTGTAAGGACTAAACACTGACAAACCCATCCACTATCAAGAGAGGGGAAAGGAGGTCAAAATGAGAGAAGAAAAAGCTGTAACATGTAAACACTAATCTTATTTTTCCAGAACACTGTTTTGTCAATCCTTAAAACAACAGGTGGAGAGAAAATAATTACTTTGAAACAAGCTAGAAAATAAGAAGAGAGCCAAGAAGAAAGAAAAAAAGAAAACAACAGAAGCTCTATAATGTAGAAAATGAATTCCAGGAGGACAGGTTAGAAAGTATATTAAAAACAATCTATATATGTGTATTTAATTCTGAGGACAAATTTGAGTCTACAGTCTTACATCCTAGGATGTAAGTCAGAAACACTGATAAAAACATACACCTACGAATGTATATGCTAGCTGTCTGAATTCCAAAAAGAGAGAAAATGCTGTAGCTTGTAGTCAGAACAAAAGAGAAAAAGAAAGACGTTCTTTCACAGGAAAGACTGCTTGCGTGGAAGAGACGTGTTTTGTGAACACTCAAAATATCAGAAAGCAAAAGGACAATCTTTCATAATACTCTTTTTTTAAACATCATTCTTCATTTTGTGCATTTTTTCATCTCAGTTGTCATCTCCGTGGACTTCCCACCACCAATTCACCCTTGTGCCATCACCATAGTCCCGTGCACTCTTCCCACCCCCGTCGCCCCCGTTTTGATCCCATTCCCCTCTCCACCCCCATAAAATGTCTCTGGTTTATAGTTATTCATTGTTTTTCGTTTTTACTTTATTACAATTGCTTCCTCCCCCACTCCACCCCACCCCCGATCCCTTATGCTCCAGCTATGAGCGAAACCATCCGGTATTTTTCTTCAATCTTTCCATAATTCTAAAGGGAAAGTGATGATAATGCATTGATCCAAACTGGTAGTTATGCTTGACAAAAAAAATAAATCCCACCTTCAGACTGATAAAGACAGACTATAAGCCAGCAAGAGGGGGCACACTGCATCGAGCCAGTGTTGAGTACAGTTATTGGAAGAATTTGGATCCTTTCTGTCAGTAGGTGTGCCTGGAACACTGGCGGAAGGGTGGAAAGCAGTGTCTGGCCCCAAATGCTCATCACAGACTCAGTCCCAAGCTGACTCTCTGAGAGGACAAAGATCCTATTATAAACCCCCACTTTACAGATGAGAAAGCCTACAGATGAGAAAACTAAGGCTTAGAGAGAGTAGCGCGCCAGGTCACAGAGCTGGTAAGTAGTGGAGTCAGGATTTGAATGCAGAAAGGCATGCAACCCCAAAGCTGTATTAACTAATATTAGGAATAATGCCTCAGACTTGACTATAAAAGAAGATTATTTAAAGGGAAAATTATACATAATATACACAACAGTACTTAAGTTGTTAATATGCAAATATTAAACTATTGTTTCAAATACTAATGAAACTATTAAGAAATGATCAAAAACATAAAAAGGGATGTATTTTTAAATGTTACCATAATTCTGGTTTGGTTTAATATGCCTTACAGTGAGGTTAAGGCAATAAAAGTCTCACTCACCAAAGGGTAGAATGGGGCAAAGGTGATAGATACTGTTTAATTTTTAGTCACAAGAGCAAACTGAAATACATACATTCAGCAGACTGAAATACATTTGTAGCAAATTAAAACACATTTCATGATAATTAGTTGCTATTCAGCATAAATACTAGAAAAGAATTGATAGTAGAACTATCAGAACACTGTTTGGTGGAAAGCAATAAAAAAAATCAGGAAAATAAAAAACAATAAATATAAAATAGGATGGCTGGGTTCAGACAAAGCATACCAGGGGTCTCCACAGTGGCAGTAAGTAAATAGCAGCAAGATTCTCACTGGATAAACATTGTAAAAAAACCTACATTGTTTAAGAGACCCAAACTTGGCTGTCACTAAAAACTGAAAAAAAGTAGGCTACTAAGGAACTACAAACACAGAACAGATTTAGCAAAAATAAATAGCAGCAAGGAAGAGCCAAATAATTAGAAGGGTGTTTAATGTTTTAAAAAAGACAGCACAATAGGAAGTGTCCTGAATCTTAAGGAAAAGTACTGGAAAGTCCTTAGAACCGAATTCTTTAAGTGGCCTATCCACAGCCTGCAGAGGGGCTGACCAGATCAGGAAAGAGAAAGATGATTGGAGAAAGTAAAATGTTTTAAAATTTGGATGCAAAGGATCTGAATCCTGCTGTTGGTTGGTAACAGCCACCAGCAAAGCTTTAAGTTACACACAAAAAGTACTCATTCTTTATATTGAATTAAGAAAGGCTGAAATCAAGCGAAGTAGTCAATGCTACAAAAAGTAAAATGAGGGAATTAGTAAGAAAAACAGTGATTAGTAAATTAAAAAAAAAAAAACTAGACAAACTGATAAAATCAAAAACTGAACTCTGAATAGACAAACAAAATGGACGAGGCCCTGAAAGTCAGGCCAAAGAGAGGCTCAGAGGCGGCACAAGAGCAATGCCAGGTGGGCAAGTGCCCACCACGTGCAGTCTAACGGCACAGAATCTAACATTTGATTGTTAAAAAAAAAAAAAAAATCACCAAAATACAACCACAGAAAATTTGACAAACTTATTAAAATATTAAGGAACTTGCTCTTCCCACTCAAAAATCTTTCAAACCCAAAGGGTTTTGGAAATGAAACCAGAACTGATCCTATTTAATGTGTTCCAAAAGCCAGAAAGAAGGCATTCCCAATTTTAGTCCATTCATTTATAAACAATATCTAGCAATAAACTGACCTAGGAAGGCTTATTACAGGAACATAAAATAGCTAAATATTAAGAAACCTTCCGCAACAATTGATATGTAATAATCCACTATTTTATAAAATTCAACGTCTTCAAAAATATTCTTAATAAACAAGGATTAAACTACTTTTTAATTCTATAAGAGTATAAAAGGGTACAAAGGCTAAGAATTTGTAAAAAGAAAATAAAGAGGAGGAAACTGTCTTTTTATATGTCATAATACATTCATCACTTCAGTTACTGAATTGTTTTGAGAACAATAACACCTGATTCCTATTAAAAGTTTGACAGCTCAGAGACAAGTTATTATTATGATTACTTCCATTTTCCTACTCACAATTTTTTAATACACGGCTTAATACACTGAAGGCCATATCCCAACTTTCTAACCTCGTGATGAATGTAGCAGTAAACGGCTCAGGGCTCACAGCTTACAAATACAACTCCAGGTTCTCTTAGGACTTGTTTCCCTCTCCTCCCAGCCACACCGTTTCTGTACCACCACTGGCCCTGCACAGTGCTGGAGCCCAGCAAGGAGGCTGTCCAAAGACCTCAGGTCCACTGTAAGCACCTCATCCCACTCGCCCCGAAAGCTATAGAAGCCAGAGCCGACTTCAGTAGTTCCTTCACATCTGTATTTTCCACCAACACATCAGGCCGGCAGCCCTGTCGACAGTATTTCCAACTGCACTTCTATTTTCTCCTCTAGGAGAGCAGAGCTCAAGAAGTTAAGAAGGAGGGAGGGTGTGAGCCCAGAGTAAACTGAAACTCAGGGTGTGACACTCCCAGCCTGATTCTACTGCAGCTATTTGTATGTACAGAGAAATGAACACAACTGTTTCAGTCTTGAAATAGAGCAGAAGTTAAATTAACCCTCACATTTATAAAATGTCCACCGGATCACAGACAAACCCTGCAAACGTGGGTCCACTTGCTCATGGGCCCTGGACCTTCCAACTGCTACATGCACAGACTTGCCATGGTCATTCCATGAACAGACGTCACTCCCAACAGGATGCTGGACATCACTTTACCATTTTAAACAAATGAGATGCCAAGCCTCTCAAATATGTGCCACTGGAACAAGGCTAAACTTCCTGTACGTGTTTCAAGATCGAATTTCATTTGGAAGACTCTGTATTGTCAACTGTAGAAATAGAAAATTTTTATAATATTCATAAAAATACATAAAATGATGAGTAAGAATCAAGAAAAAAAATATTTTAAAGAATGATTTTTATTTTCCCAATGGCCCCACTGAAATTAAAACCTCCACTTAACATCCCTGGTTATAAACATATCTAAGACTATTTGTTTTCACCTGATTCAATCTCAAATTCTGTAACTGCCTAGATTGGAGTTTCAATAATGGTGAATTGTTGAATATTATGGACGCCTCTATCCAAAACACTTAAGACAAATCATCTCGGGCGGTTTCAAATTAAAAGCTTGTAAAATATGTAACCTCTCCTAGTTTTTGCAATTAATAGGGTACATCTGCAATTAGCCTGACTCACTGAATGCAGTGCTGTTGTCATTAAAAGATGTCTGTGAAAGTGCTGCTGTTATTATGGAAGCTCAAGAGACCAATCCCTCCTAGAGGGCAAACAGTGGACTGGTAGAAAACAACAGCCATAAATCACACTGTCAGGCAGCCGGGAGAGCGGAGTGTAGCACAGGCACATGAAGGCCATTCACGGTGAACACAGCACGGCAGCTTCCCAGGCAGGATTTACTGCACCTGTAATTAATTAAAATTTCCTTCAAGCTAAATCTTTAATAAACAAGGATTTGTGCTGACAATGAAGAAAAAAGGGCCCCAGCAACATAATTTTCCAGTATACCTCACACAACAAGCACAGCATCTATCATTTCTTGTATCAGTATATACATCAGCTCCCAGTTAATAGGAGTTACATCACATTACGTTATAATTCGGGCAGTTGGAAGGGGTCTGAAATATTTAGGTGCTTAAGGGACCACCTAGCTGTTTTCTACTTTGTTATGTTTTTACTTGCCTCCCGTCTACCTTTTAAGCCAAGTGTTTTTACCCTGCTTTAGAAGATGGGTCTTTTAAAAGACTATGGATGGTAGTTTAATCAGATAACCATATCTTTGTGTGATTTGCTCTCTAATCACATCTTGCATTTTCCCAGAAAATGGTTTTTAAAAAAATTAACATTCTGTTTCATTATTTCCATTTTGGGGCCAAATGTATTTGGTATAAGGGAAAATAAGGTATAGACAAGAGTGACCATAAACAATTTTGATAAAGGAGGTGTTAGCCTTCTACATGGGATATGTTTACAAGTTTCCACTATCCAAAAGTAGGTGCTTCCTACTTGGTAAGACTTGGTAGGTTACATTTTAGGCCTGGAAATGCCCAAAATGTAATGGTAATGTTGTCCCAGACCTAAAAAATAACCTACTATATCATACAAATAGGAAGATTCTATTTTTGGACAGTAGAGAAGACCTATAAATTAAGTCAGCCAGAAATGTCAGAGAATCTTTTCTGAACTATTGATATAAAAACATCTATACTGTTACTTATTGCTAATAGTATGAATTACCTGAGTCAATGTTATAGACTGGGGGTCATAGTAAGCTCTTCATGCACATTAACCCAACATATCCCCACAAATTTAACCCAAACATTTCACAAGAGACAGAGCTAGGCTCAGAGAAGTGAGTTACAAAACAGCAGACCAAAATTCAAACTGTGATGTGGTAACTACAAAATCTACACTCTAGCTTTCTCTACTTTTATGTCTCTAGATGCTATAATTTAATCAAAATAAGATAAGATGTAATTATCTCAAACATTCCACAGCCTTACTATATCCTACATAGCAGAAAAAGGTTGGCAAGATATAAAGTGACAACCATTTCAGTATAAAAGAAATTTCTCATTACACATCTTCTAACAAATTGAAAAAGGTTCTTAATAATTAAATAAACTTTACAACATAGTTCTAAAGATGTCACAACCCACTGTGAGTTAGGGCGTAAGTATCATAAAACTGCCCTCCTTCACTGTCTATTCATATACTTTCTTTTCTTAAGAACAGTTTTTCAAGGGCAGTTAAAAACACCCTCTCTTTTTCAGAGCCCTAATACCATAAACACTGGAATATTATTTGTAGTTATCCAATAAATAAGCACAAATCAATTAACATAATAAGTTTCTATGCTAGAAAAAGCAAGAGCAAGATTCGAAAAATGCAATAGGGCATCTTTGTGATCTTTTGCTTAACAGTTTACCTCTTTGGAGATCCGAGTACTTTATAATGGAAAAGAAACAGGAAAAAGAGCTCAGAATCAGAGTAAAAACTGAAGTCTAATATTTTTCTTCAAAGATGAAGAAATTTCAAGTTGAACTCCTTAGTAAACTGTAAAAGCACTAAAGAAATTATGATCAATCGTGTGAGTATATGTCTATGTGTGCAAAAATCACCTCAGAAGGTAGAATTATTGTAAGTAAAAAAGTAGTAACTATTTTCTAAGGTTCTGTCCTCCAAACAAGTTAAAGAAGCAAGACTCACCAACAAAGACACTTGACGATGTCAATTCTGTTTATGTTAATTAGTGACTATATTTCATTTATGCGAAGCTAGTTCTGCAGGCTATAACAGAGGGGCAGAGGTAAGCCATGACCCAGGTAAAGGTTTAAAATACATACAGACATTTCACTCACCCAAAAGAAAATGAAAGGATAAAGAACATATGCTCATGAATGCTACTACTGGATTTTACAATACAAGCCATTAAGAGATACTAATAGAAAATGGAAGTGAAAAAAGAAAACCCATGTTTTGTAAGGGTGATGATACAATAATTTAGTGTGACTAGAAAAACTGTGTTTTCCTGCTGCTAAAATCACTGTTTTTAGGCCCTCCTTTGTGGCGCAACAGGTTAGGATGCAGCACTGTAAGCTGGCCGCAATCGCTTCAATGTGAGTTCAATCCCCTACCCTGGAGGTAACCACATGGCACAGCAGACCTCTCCTGACCCGCCCGCTGCTCCCCTCAGAGTGTACTCCATCAATCTGCTTCCCACTGTCTCTGGTGAATCCTCTCGCCGCCCCTGCACCTCTGGCTTGTATCCTAGTTCTGTATGAGTAAGTAAGTAAATCTTTAAAAAAAAAATTACTGTTTTTATCAAGTATTTACTATATTATTTTAACTCAATTTATTTTCTACTTAATTACTTAATTACAGGACAAGGTTGGTTTAACAAGAGCTAGTATAAAAGCAAGACTCCATCCAAACGTGAGCTATCAAATTATATACTCTGATTCACTTCTATCAAAAGTTCTGCTTACTCATGATCAAGAATAACGTAAGAATTTGGAGAAAGAATGACACAGACACTGGAGTTAGTGGCTCGCATGTGTGACTCAGGGAGGCCAACGTTCAGCCGCTCTCGCAGGCACTGCTTCCATGAGGGTACACGAGCCCTCACTTAACAGCTACTTCTTGTCACTGTGCTAACCCACAGTGAAATAAATGTGTCCTTATTATTCAGTCAGCAAATGCTTGTGGCACGTGGGACACAAAGTGAGTAAGACAAAGTCCCTACTCTAGAGTTTACAGTCGATGTGAAACAGAGATGAGAATAAAAAAGTGTATCTATCTATACCACCCACAGAAACATAGGGAAATCTCCTTTTTGATAACATGGCTGAAATAAACTTTCAGAATACAGTGACTATAGTTATATGATGATCAAAGGTTCAGAGAATGAAAAGGAACTTAAGTAAAAAGTAAAATAGAAATTGTAAAGTTCTCAAATTGACAGGTTCTTTTGCTCATTACAAATACAATTTAAAAGTGTATTAACAGATGCATTTATAAGTGCGAGTTATTATACTACAATGTGTCCCCAATTTTCTAAAACCGTTTAAGTCACTAATTTCTCAAACTCAGCCAGTTGAGTGTCATATAAGGCCCTGCTCTGGAGACCCACTGATGTGGCTTGCTCATCATTGTGCTGCTGGACAACAATCATGTCCTGACCCCTCAAGAGGCTGTCAAGATGACAAAGACCACATTCATCATTGTTTTGAAAATACAGGGCTTAATTTAAATCAGTAACAACTGGTTTCAATGATGAAAATAAACACAGGAATGGACACTTCAAAAACATGTAGACTGAAGTACTGTGATGTTACCTTTTTATGGGAATAGGTGCCGGTTTCATGTAGAATTGCCACTCTGAACGGAGGCCACCACGTGTGAAATTCCTTCACCCACTGATGCATCACTGTGGTTGGACACACAATTACAGTTGGACCCAACCCCTCGAACCTGCACCCAAAACATGAATGAAAACACAACCATGAATGACAGCATAGGGATGTTCAACTACTAACCCCAAACCAAACCAAAAACAAGAGTAAAAACTTATTAAGTGCAAAAAGGAAAATCCCAGCTCTGAAAACTATGGACATTTTCTTTAAAGACAAAGCTTTTGACGTGAAACCCTGTAGGTGAAATCTCTACCTTTCCATTCATCAATAAGTGTTCACAGGTATTAAGTAATACATGAAAAGATGACATCTATAGTCAAGTAAATCAGCCTAGTGGCATAACAAAACTACTTTTCTCTCCTCTTCTACTCCAGGTGGTGAAAGTAGGACAGATCTTTTTTACTATTTCCCTTTTTAAACTTTTATTTACTTTATATTTCTTTGGCTAGCTTTGGAAAAGGAATTTCCCCCACTACTATCCGACTTATTCCTTCCCTTGCCCCCTCCCTCTTAACCTAAGAGTCTTCATGCTATTTGTTGGTACCACTCATTTTGTAAGTATTTTATTGTATCAAATACTAGAAATGCTCAGTATTTGTTTACATCACTGAGCATGATTTACTGCACATAATTCTCTCAAACTCCCCCCAGTTCAGTTTCCTCACAACTGAATGGTTTTCTACACTGTGCACACAGAAGACATGCATACACAGCGCTGTGACCTAAGCAAACAGAGTATCTTAAATTTGTTTGAAGCTTTATAGTCTACCAAGAGTCTGCACCTACAGAATGTCCGTCTAAGAAGTAAGCAGAATGCTGGGGTGCCTACAGAGGCATGTTACCATGTGACAGACAGAGCAATGCTTAAAACTCAAATTCTGCTCTTCCAGTTACTTCTCCAGAGTGATAAAAAAAGTGAGTGGAGAAGTTCACGGTGACCATTTTCACTGGATTGTCCATGCCATCAGAGTGTAAGTGAGCTGCACTGTTCTTGTGGAATGCACCTGAGTAGTACATAGCCAGAGCCTTAATAACAGCACGCCAGACCTGCAGTCCCAATGCAGTCATGCCCTGGATACACACTGCAGTATTAAAAAGCAAGGTGCTGCCTAGCCGTGCAGAAGCAAGCGCAGGCTAATAGTCAGGAGCACTGCTTGGGTCTGAATCCCAGCCCTGCATGCACTCACTGTGTCACGCTCAGTACTTTTATTTACCCCTCTGAACCTCAGTTTCTCATCTTAAAACGGTAATAATAGAATTGGTCATACAGGTCTACTAAAGATCAAATCAGCTACTATCTGGAAAATGCTTCGGCTAATATAAATATTAAAAAGATTTGTTAAATTAAGATAGGATATCACATAACAATTAACATCATGGTTGAAAAATATTTAAAAAGCTGAAAAAATGCTCACGTCTTAAAAAGGTAGCGAGCAGCCAGGGGCAGCCACTATCTCAACTTCCATTTCTCTTTTCTCTCCTTCCTAACAGAACCACACATCTGAGCAGGCATTTCCTCTCCCTCCCCACACACACAGGACTCTGACCACCACCTGCTACAGAAAGAAGGGGAGAGCAGACATCCTCGTTCATCTATTTCCCATCAGCACACAGTATCCCCCGGTGACGACCACTGGTTCTCGAGGAGCCTGGTAAGACTGGATCACATGGTATAAGGAAGCAGAGTCTGTGTTGGGTGAAGGCTTTCTCCTTGGTCCCTCCTACTGTCTGTGGACAAGAAGGTATCCCAGTGGCTGCTGGGAGATGGGTTACAGTGCCAGGAGATCTACTGGCACAAGGGGAACTGGTATTAGGAGAAAATTAAAGTCGCCAGTCCCTGGTGAACACTGAGCTGTAGATCAATGTTAAAGCCCACCCTCTCTGCAGGTTTCCCAGCGTCTCACACATTTTGTGTACATTTGAGCCAATCTGAAACCAGATTTTACGTATCTGCAGTCAAATATCTTGATATATTGCACACCAAGGTTCTGACTGAATTGGCAGCATTCTGCCCTCCTCATCTCCTGTGACAGTGGAACAAGCGTCCCTTTTCTTGTCTGAGGCTAATTTCTTTACCTGTGCTTATGAGCCCGCCCCTTGTACTGTAGCTGGCTGCTCCAGCTTCAGTCTCGCTAGTAGCTAAGCACTAGTCAGTGCCCAAAGGAAAATTAAGCAAAAGTCAAACTAACTATGGCAATCTCTTCCATAGTGGACTCACACTTAGCTCATGCTACAAGCTTGACTGAGGAACCCGGAGGCCACCTGCTGCCTGCCTCTCCCTCTATTGGGAGCAGAGCCACCGTCATGGCTATTTCCCCCACCTCACATTTTCCTGCCCAACAAGGATGCTGACTGTCTGAAGCTGGATGCACATATCCCCAGCACACATTACCCCATGTTATCCAACTACCAGATGTCAATCGTTCCGTGTTGATGATGCCAAACCCTGAGCCCCAAAGTACCAAACTGGTGTCTAGCTACAGCTGAAATTTCCACTTAGGTGTTCCCAAGGCACAACATGTCATCTCCCTGGATCTATCTGCCTTCCATGTTTCCTAATCCAATGGGGAAAAACTGTTCCCCAGTCTCCAGGTGCCCAAACCACACATCCAGGCCTCGCCTGGTCTGCCCCTGCTGTTCTCCACGGTACCAGCCTATACTGAGTTCCCAGCATATCTATAATCAATCGCTAGATCCCTCCCAAAGTCCCCCTCTCACCCTCCAGCTCTGTCACTTCCATCGCTTACTTGGGTTATTGTACTTTCTAGTTTGATCATCTCAAAAAAACAAAATCTGAGTATCTCATCCTTTTGCTTTAGGCCTTTAAAAATGTATTTTATTTATTTACTTATTTTTCACATCATTCTTCATTTTGTGCATTTTTCCATCTTGATTGCTTAAAGGCTTTTAATGTTTGCCGACAGTTCTGAGGAGCTGGTATCTGCTCACCTCTTCAGTCTCATCTCTCACCCTCCCCCATCTCTGCTGTCTTCAGTTCCTTAAGTACATACTCCTCTGCCCTCCCACTTCGCCTCTCTCATCTTACCCTCTTATCCTAACTACTGTGAAAGTCAGTCCTCAGCTTCTCTATAGAACTTTCCCGGTCCCTCTTTCTCCAGATGGATCACGTTCCTTTCCTTGGTGCATCTACCCTAGTTAGGACCCCACACCAATCCTGCAATAATACACACATATTGAAACTGTATGACAGTTCCTTCCTAAGCAACCTGAGTACACAGGAACAGCTTTTCTCCAAATGATTTCAATAACTAGACCTCAGGAGATAATGAATGATTACTGGCTCTATTAAAAGGAGACTTTTTTAAAGGTTGAAAGAAATTACATTGAAATGTTAAAAGAGGCTATTTCTGAATCAGGAGGTCATGGATGACTTTTTCTTTTTCTTGCTGCCACTCAATAAATGATTCCTGAACTTAAAAAGAAATTTTATAAATTATAATAAGTCACAGGTCTTAAATTATTTAAAATAATCTTTTGCATAACGGAAAAAGTTTGTAACTCTACCAGAAAACCTAAGTGATGACTCCAGTGCCATACACTTCTCCACTCACTTCTAAATTCTCCCAATCTCCTGCAGTAGCCACTGCCTCATCCCTCTGCTACGGAGAAGTGTCCCTCTGACTACAAGAAGCAAAGGCTGCCACAGACTGACACTTGTGCAGAATTCCTCACTAAAAGCTGATCCCTTGCAAGCACTACCCCTAGGGAGAGTATGACTCTGGCCCAGCCCCCTGTCCATGACAATATTCCTTTCTGAAAGGATTAAATGCACCAGCTTATTTATGTCCTCCAGGGAGAATCAGTGTTTTCAATATACACTTAGCAGGGATTAGAAAATAACCAATCAAAAGCTGTCTAAAAACAAACTCACTTTCAAATGAACAAAAATTATACATATGCTTTTATTTTTTGGTTATAGTATAACATGCTTTCTGCTCACCACTACATTGATAACTCATATTTTACCACTTAAAACCATTAGTTTACTCTGGTTGAACACCTGCCTGCCATTATTACACCTCTTAATTTCTGCCACTCCCCATCTACTAAAAGACTATGAAGTTTCCACGTTGAATGAAAACCTAGGATCATCTGAACTGTTCTTGAACCACCACAAAGGCGATCATACCCACTGAAGATCACATTAACCAAATCACCTTTTCCCAACCCTCAAAACTGGTGAGATGAGCATATGAAATGGCTAAATATACTCGAATTAGCATCAATCACCAGACTAGCTACAGTTCCTTTCATTGTGATTACTTGGTAACTTTGGTAGTCCAATGTCAAATACCTCAACTTGCAAGATGGAAATCTAGTCACCGTCTAGAATTTACTAGGAAGTACAAAACAAAGTATCTACCTTTAAAAGATTTTTTTTTAAAGATTTATTTATTTATTCATACAGAACTGGGGTACAGGCCAGAGATGCAGAGGGTGAGAGGATTTACCAGGGACAGAGTGGGGAGCAGAACAGGCAGGTCGACGAAGTACACTGCTGAGGGGAGCAGCGGGCGAGACAGGAGCGGTCTGCTGCTCCACATGGGTCAGCTCTGGGTGGAGATCGAACTCGCACAAACTGGAAGCTGGAGTGCTGCGCTTTAACCCAATGCGCCACCAGGGAGGGCCTGCCTTTGAAAGTTGATAAGGTTTTCCAAGCCATTTACTTGTAACTAGGAATTTACTAAAAGATATCCAAAGCATTAAATAATTTAAGTTTAAGGTAACACTTTATGTTCTCTCAATCACAAAATTCAGGGGTCTTATCATTATTTGGTTGGTAAAGTAAATAGGTAGAGTACATATTATGAACTGGGAACACATCAGTGTAAATTTTTGTTAATCACAGATAATAGGCTTCTCTCTCTTTTTAAAATAAATGTATGTACAAAACCCATTAAAAAATAAAAACAGGCCCTCCCTGGTGGCGCAGTGGGTTAAGGCACAGCACTAGGAAGCTGGGGCCACTTCCGCATGAGTTCAATTCCCGCCTGCCCGGGAGGTGACCACATGGTGCCGCCTGCTGCTCCCCTCAGCAGTGTACTTCCTCGATCTGTCTGTTCTGCTCCCCGCTCCGTCTATGGTGAAACCTCTCACCGCCCCTGAGCCTCTGGCCTGTACCCCAGTTCTGTATGCACAAATAAATAAATTTTTTTTAAGTATTAAAAAAAATAAAAAACTTTTACTATGAAGTTTCTTCTTGGCCTACGAGAGACATACACCAGTTCAAAGTTCGTGGACTTTAAAATTGCAACACTAAGACCATCTTGAATTAAGGCTGAAAAAAACTGACAGTTTGCACAAGTTCAGAGGAAATGAACGGCCAATGAAGCCATGCCAGCTCACACACAACTTCATTTTATCTCAAGGACTGTTTTTCTTTAGGATATAAACATAAAGGAGACCTCCAAGTTCATTTAATTTTAGAGAAGGACATATTATAAAACTGTTAGCAAGAGGTTAATCTATTTGCTGTGTAGCACAAGGATGTGGCAGGACCCAAGTTTCTTACTGCACCCCTACTCAGAGTCCAGTTGTTTGGTTGACAAATAACCGCATTCTGGAGAGCCACTTCTACAAATACTATTTTAATAAAGACAATCTGGGCTATAGTCCAACACGCCACACTATTTCATTATGGAAAAGAGGATATGAGCATTGATAGCTAATTGATTACAGCTGCTGCTCATTATTAGCCCTGCCTTCATTCTGAGCAGGATTGTCACCACTCAAGAGAGCATGTTTTAATTTTTAGATCAAAACTACACTGCAGGGAGGACTTTCGGTTTCCTAGGCCCAGAGTATTAGACTCCACGCAAGTTTCATGATAATAGGAAGGAAAGAAAAGAGATGGGAAATAAGAAAATCCCAGAAATCATTTAAGGAGAGAAAGACAGTCCTAGAAACCATCTGGGACAGCTTGGAGAATTCTAGTTATCTTAAACAAATAAACAAAAAAGCCCAACCCAAGTAGAACTGTACAGAAGCCAGCCAAAGAGTCCGTTTAGAACAAAGAAAGCATTTTTTTAAATGCTACACTAATGACCATCATAATAAGAAAAAACTAAATACCCATTTTTAACTTTTGACTTTTCCCTTTGTTTTCAGTAGAAAATAATGAAATTCTAATATAATAAAATCGTCTGCTTCGATATAACTTCCTTGGTGGAACAACAAGCCATCTAATATAAAATATATATATACAAATGTTTTTCCCCTTTTAAGTCAACATAGATATCTCTAAAATATTCTAAAACTTCAAATTCGCCTCCTGAGAAGTACCGATCTGCTAAATTAGTGAAGAGTAAGAAATAAAAACAAAGCCAAACTCTGTGAAGATTTAATTGTTCTTTACTCAATAGTTTATTACTTGTATTTGTCTCTACTAAACATTTCCCTGCCAATGAACCAGTTTAGGATAGTAACTTTCTGCAGTTGCTGACTTCAAGTCCATTGAGAATATTTTAAAGGTGTCTTCAAATGGTATCTACTGAGTACTTGGTTTTACTATGAGATAACCACCTGGTATACATCTTGCTGTTAGTCCTTAGATAAGCCTCTTGGCCAAGGAAGACTTGCGTTCTCGAGGTGCATGATTAAGTACCCCACAGAAGGACTGTGGTACCTAGTTGGTGGATGTGATGTGGTGACATGCATCTGAGGAGTAGGAACCCTATGTCACGGAACAAGTGTTGTAAACCACTGTTATCTCAGTAAGTAAACAAACCACCTAATTCATCTAGCATTATTTTTAACAACACTTATTTACATAAAGCCAATTTACAGCTTAAATATGGAAATGCTCACTGCTGCACTTTAATTCAAGATATTTCAATCCTATCATACTAAACTAACAAAGTTTAAATGTTATTTCTTCCTGAACAGTTTTAATAGTTTATTTAAATTCCTAACAAGAACAAAGACTAGAATCCAAACACAGTTTTCTTTCATTTGAGACACCCTTTTGGCTTTGACCTTAGAATTTATGGAAAATTCTTCAAGATGGGGAGAGGAGAAGGAAAGTTTAATAAGCAGATAAGAAACTACTTTTTAAAAAAACTGCTATCACCCACAACGATAATAAAAGAAAGTTCAGGAGAATGGCTTCTCCAGAGCTCCAACTTTTTCCATGAATAGACTTTGTACTTACTGTAATGCTCACCTGGTCTCCTGCCAGCACAAATATTTTAATGTAAAATTTAATAAATGGGGCTAAAGGTATTATGTCTAATTTAAAATTCCATATTGTGTAAACTATTGATATTAACATAATTGAGTTTGTAAACAATCCATTTGTAGATGCTAACCTTAGACATTGTATTGACCCAAAATATCTAGTGGGGCTCATCTGCAAAATGAAGCATCAATGCCTGGAATTCATTAAAAGTGTTACATGTTTAATTTCTCCTGCCCTACAGCTCCATTGTCTCGTAAAAATTTTCCTTTGATGTCCCCCACTAAAAGAATTAAAGGAATATTGTAATTGAAATGTCATCAATAATTCACAAGACCCTCCTCCACAGCAATACATCTGATGAAATATTAATTGAGCTCCACAGACTGACAGTCTGCAGAGAAGCACTTGCCTGTAATTTGAACCACGAGTCCTGATCTTGCTGTAGCTCAGACCTGCCAAGAAGGCAATTATCTGGATGGTCTTGCCCAATCCCATTTCGTCTCCCAGAATTCCTCCTGCCTGCTGGCAGTGCAATTCCCACAGCCACCTAACACCTGTCTGCTGGTACCTACAACAACAAACACCAACAAGGAAAAGAAAATGGCAAATGGTGGATAATACAGATCATAACAGAAAGTACTCATGAATTAATCATTTGGCTAGATTCTAGTACCAGTCAGAGAAACATGCCGGATGTGTGTTTTACATGAGTATTATATTTATAAGGTCATACATTTTTGATCATCTAGGCATAAAATCACAAATTTTTCTTTACAGAATGTTAACACATTTCTAATTAAATTGATAGATGGGATAATTAGAGACTATTTCATTTCTTTTTCAACATTGGAAATAGCTTAGTAAATAAGCATAAACTTGTTATCTTTTCAATATCTTTCTGGGAAAAATATCTCAAATATTTTTAGTAATATAAAATTCCAACAATTTTTCCATGAAAAGCATGAACATTTCCTTTTTACTATGAGCAGTGTCAAAAAAGGGAAAACACCACAATTTACAGCATATACTACTGAAAGCCACTTGGTAATCACATTACTTTTATACGAAAAATTAAATTATATTTAAAGACCATAAACAGTCTGAATAATATGGCTACTCAAAAGATTTGTACATAACAGATAATTCTGTCATACTATTAGCAGATGCAAAAAAAAAAAAAGAACAGCTTAAAAACTCAACGATGCAAAAGATCTATTTAATATTTTAAAGCAGAACTTGACTTAAGGACTTTATCACAGATACAAACAAGACCAAGGCCACTAAAATTTTAGATAAGGAGTACAGGTCAAGGAGAAACATATATTTTCCCTCTTTAAAAATAAAAAAAAAAAAAAATAAGGGGTGGCATGTTTAATCTATACCTGAAAGTAAAGTTTTTAAAAAAGTAATAGTTAATGCAAAAAGCATTTCTGAGAGTGAAAGATTTAACACCATGGAAGGATAGGATAGGAAGATTATGTGTCAGGTAAAAAAAAGCCTAAAGTAAATAATGCTTAAGTTAAAAGACAAGGTGAGCTTAAAAAAAAAAAAAAAAGACAAGGTGAGTTAAAGAATTTTTTTTTTCCCAAAGAAAATACCAAGGTTAATAAGCTTCCCACCTTCAAACCAGGTGGTTCGTTGCTTTACCACCCAAAAGCTTATGACTTGGGTTGTGGTATGTCTACCTAAAATCTCATTGTGGAACTTCTGTCTTTGCTGAACTTGTTTCATTTAATGTCCTCTGAGTAAATATGTTCTAACTTTCTCCTCAATTTGGTAAGTTTGACTCTAATTGTTGCTATTATTACCACTACATAAGGAAAACTGAAGAAATTTGCTGCTTATGATGTTTGCTAATTATAATACGTAAAATGAATTTGCACCCTAGGGAAGAGGATTGGAGGAAAAAAACACACACACAATGAAGTCTAGTACAAGTAGAAGATGATTTAATTTGGGAAGGACACATTCGCTAACATAAGCTATGTTAGCAGAGAATAATGGCTGCCACTTGAGACCTTCCTGCTGAGGAGGCACCAGCACATGTGGTGTGTAGACAGCCCAAAGCCACACTGCATGGAGATAATCGGACATTTTATGGTTAGAAAACTGAAGGCACAGAGAGATTAAGTAACTTGTCAAAGGTCACATACAAATGAGGGGAAAAGTGAAAAATCCAGAACTGAAAATTCTGAACCTCTGATTCCAGTGTGGAGATAATTTTCACCAGCAGTTGTCAAGGGTGAGTGGGGGACACTTCTCCACATGGGACATTTGGCAAAACTTTGCCAATTACAGCTGGGGAAGGACAACGTCACCTAGTGGGTAGATGTCAGGGATGCTGTTCAACATCCTACAATGCACAGGACAGTCCCTACAACAAAGAAAAGAAACTACTGGCCCAAAATGTCATCTATGCAAAGGATCAGATTTTCTGCTGCAGAGTAACAGCTGGCTGTGAACTGGTTACACTGTACTCAGCTATGGAAAAAACAGCAGAGTCCAAAATGCTCTTGATAAGACTGATACACAATCAGAATAATTAATTCTTGTCAATCCATTTCCTCAGCAGACCACATAGCCTCCATCCAACACAAGTCCAGTATCTCTCTCTGTTTGGGGCCACTACTAAAGGGGGAAGAATCTGGAGGGTGGCGATCAAACAATCACAAAAGGAATAAGAAATGGTGACCAGAAAGGTGTATCTCAGAAGGAGTTTTGGGGGCCAGGACATCTAGACTCTCCAGGTGACCCAGAGAGACAAAATTAGTATGCTGGGTAATTCCTAATTTACAAATATCTCCATGGACATTCAAACAGCATATGATTATTTGTGAGAAGATGACTGACACTATAGAAATGACTTAAGGAAACATATACTAGGCAGCACTGTAAGCCCCATCACTGTGTGGAAGGCCCCAACGACTGGGGACATTGCAGAAAGATAGCCAAAAGTGATTTTTACTTTCTAGAAAGGATCTCAGACTGTTCCAGCACACTGGTCAGTAGGTACGTATCACCAATGAAGAGCTGAGGGCCTAGATTTTGCTTCCTGCAGTGCCATTACCTGACTTAGGTTTTATTGCTTTAATTTCCTAATTATAAAAACTGTAAGACAATTATATACTTTAAATGAAAACAGCTTCTAACATTTAGTTTTCAGAACCTTCGAAAGCATAAAATTATTCTTGAGGGAAAGTTAAAGACATTTACAAACTACTGCACAATAGTGAAGAAATTACTATGATCTGCTTTTTCCATGAAGCTGAAGCATCACAAAACAGCCATGGACAGACAGATCTTGGCATCGTCACACTATTCCAACATTGCTTTTGTCAGTGTGGCTGAACGGAAGGTCAAAAGATTGAAGTTTGTCATTTGATTGCTAAATTATATAAATGAATGCATTTGCCAGGCAACCTTTCAAAATAGAATTTAAAAAGTTAAACATAATCTTGCAGAAATAGCACTCAAATGGATAACTGTACCTTCCAACTCCCTTGTGTACAACTATACCCTGTTAATTTAATTCCAGAGTATGGTAAATAGAGTAAAAATATATCTACAGATTAAAATTAAATTGGCCTAGCTAAAACTTAATCACAAAAGAATAATGGAGACATTACCAAATTCTACTAGTGTTGTTTTTTTTTCCATAGGAAAAGGAATAGAAGTCTTGCATTTATGAAATATTTAAAATTCTGTTTTTGAGAAATAAAACAATAAAATACTTGTAGGAATGTGCAGTTGAGATTTAAAAAACAAACAGGTACTTACATGTTAAGTAGTCAATATACTGGCTCCTACACACTCTTACTAAGCTAAGTTTATTTCTATTAACTGTAAAATTTCTTTGTCAGAAAGTCACATTTATACGAAAAAGCACAATCAACTTGACTCTTGAGGATATTTACCAAATCACTTCCTACACAGGCAGAAAATTCCTATGTTTGTTAAATCCACTGGACCTATAATTTGGGTATTCCTTTTGGTAGCACAATACTGATACTCTTTGGTCGGTACCTTAATAAGCAAACATGTTAGAGAAGATAAAGAGAGTTGCCTATAACAGTTGTCTTTATTTATCTTTCCATAGTTAATTTTCATTTGGGAGAAATAATAAACAAACTAGCCACCTCTCAGAGCTATAAAATCACTTGCCTGCCAAAATTATTACAGACTCAGATTTGAATTTCTACACAGTTCTTCTGTCGAGTTATGGCAATCCACCAAGACAGTTAACATCTTCAGGAGGCAGCTTTCCTGTATGTTCAGTGGGATGAAATAAGTGCTTCCCAAGCTGCCCCCTACATAGAAAGAAAAGTTAAAAGCTCTCTGAAAGGGAATATTAAATACATGCTATTTTTAAAGAGTTATCTTGTACAAGTCTAGGGCATTTCTATGGCTGACAGCTGAATCTATGAAGGCTATTAAATATAATCACCTTAAAAAGGAAGTTTGCATCTCTACCCTGCTACCAAGTGATAATACAAAGATAGGAAGAAGCTACTTAATGATTTAACTTCCTATGTGCATTGAAGAAGCCTTCCCAAAGTATCTTGTTAAGTAAATCCCAGGAGGGATGAGATGGAAAATGTGCCTAAGAATTTACGTTCATCATGGGAGACTCATCCAGGTCATGTAGGCTTATGGGTATGCATCTATCACACAGCAGCTGCTAGCTGGAGACTCGTTCACTTCACCTATGAAACACCGTCAGTTTCAAAGAGCAACTTAATTCTGGAGGTGTTTGCCATTTGCCTATATCTTGTCTTTTAGAACATTACAACAACATCTACATAAAATATTAAGATGTGGATTTGGTTAGTTCAACAGTACTACACCCTTAGGTACAATATGACACAAGAGAAAATAATCTCAACAGTTTATCTCCACACAGTAGTTAAAAAAAAAAAAAACCTTTCCTACTATTGATTTTAATATACAACTCTTCTTAATTAATCTGACTTAAGAAATTAGAGCTTTGGTCCCTCAAAATTACTAAGAACAACAACAACAAAAAAAAGCCGCTCAACATGGATGGCTTTTTAAATGTGTTGCTTTTAGTCTGCTGAGACAGGTCCATATAGATTCATCAGTTTACAAACATACCCAATGCGCACTTTAGTCAATTTATTATCATCTAATTTTAATGAACAGCATGTGGCTAAAATTTCATTTGACAGTATCTGTATTTGCAATAAATTGCTGCAAGTACCTTAAGGGCCCACAGGTAACTACTGTGTAATTCCTAAAATATTAATTTGTACACAATGGCTTGATGACAGACATAAAGGAAAGAGCATATGGCACATACTTAAAAAGCTTTTTGAACAGAAAACCCGGCATTTTAAAACCTTCATCAAATTCAGCATCACTTTCCTCTGAATCGTCTTCAAGCTTCAGACACTTCTCTTTGTCCCGCATTCTCAGTTTATTCCATCTCCTATCATGGAAATAAAAATCATATTTCCATTATTTTGGTTACAAGTCAGATTAAAATAGACAACTCTAGACAATGCAAAGAACAGGCAATTTAGAATATCTTCTAGCTTTCTGCTGCTGTCACTACCCAAAACACTAATATTCAAAGAAAAACGATTCTCTTTTCCCTATCAAAACTATTTGCACCTCCTCTCACATACCCTTAGCAGGAAAATTTACCTGCTAAGACATCGGAGTTAATTCTAGAAAAGAGTCAGTGAAAATTCCAATATAACTACCTCCAAAACAACAATATAACAATATACATTTTAATTTATAATTATTTTTGTACTAAGATCTGACAGTCATTGCATAGTATCTTAAAACATAGAGCAAATTTTGGTGACTATTTACATATATGAGATTCACATAATTGACTCCTTCATGGGAAGCTTCTACAATACCAAAGTACTGGTAGTGAAACCACTAAGGAAAAAAGCCCTCACTAAATAAACTTTAAGTTAAATATAAAACATAAATTTACTAATATGATGTTTTTCAAATATAAAATAAGGTGAACATCTATTTTTCAGATGGGTGATGGAAAACAAGAAATGTCCAAACACCTGAAAGTCTCAAGCAACAACCAAGGTTGTTGGGAAGTTGCTGTCATTTAACCAGATTAATTCTGCTTCCACAGAACTAAACAACACTGATGTCAAGAGTGAAAAAAGGGGAAAAATCAATAGTCTCACATTCTATTCACTTTTAAAATAAAAGGCTGACTTATTCTAGCATGCTTACAACAGACACTTTGAATTTCACAAAATAGCAAAAATGAAACAAAGCAATCCTACAGATAAATGCCTTCACATGTAAATAGCTCACAGGCAGGGAATGAGAATAAGACACATAAGGAGGCATTTATCTGCTAGTGACTAAGTAAGAAGAGCATGTGTGAGGGAGATTACCACTGACACTGCTGGTTAGAGGAGTGGCGCCTTTCCAGAATCCATCACAAAACCAGCAGAGGTGGAACTGGAGATTGGTGGGCAACCCTGCTCAGGTAGCTGCTGGAGGACCTTGAAACAAACCTTTCTCTGATAAATTCTTGCCTTGTTGAAAATGTCAGCTTTTCAAAGTCACAAAAGGAAGGGCCAGTTGAAGTTCAGTTGTGATCAGCAAGAAAGGACTAGCTGGTGATCTGGAACTGCCTGGCAGGGGACTCAGAGAGCCTACAAATAAACACTGTTGGCAATTTCCATAGAACAGCCAATGGAAGGGGCAATATATGGCCAAGACTAAGGAAAAAGCTATCATGTAACCATAAGGTTTAGTATGTGATAGTCTTTTTATAAAAAAAAAAAAAAAATGTTTAGTGTTTTGTGTGTGTGCTTTAATTTCCAAAGGCACTCTTTTCCTCTCAATTAGCATTTTTCTTAATTAAAAAATGATTTTCCTGCAACTGATAAAATGAAGTACCTCTGGGAGGCTATTAACAATAGTTTTGCTGTTCTTCTGATTCTCACATTATCTACAAATTTAGTTAAGTGCAATGGTTTCACAGCTGTGGTTCTCAACAGGAGACATTTGTCCATCATTCCCTACCACTACCACCACCACAATTAGACAGTGTCTGGTGACCTATTTGGCTTGTCACAGTTGCCAGGAGAAGGGGAGACACACTACTAGCATCCCAGGTAGGAACCAGGGTTGATATTAAACATCTTCCAGCATACAAGAAAATTCTCCACAACAAAAGGCTATCTGGCCTCAAATATCAATAGTGCCAAGGCTGAGCAACTTACTAAATCTGTAGCTCTTACTAATGAAACCTAATTCTTTTTATGATGTATATATCTGAATTTTTACTACTCACTGACTGAAATTTAGCAAGTAATTTCAGATTACCTATTCTTTAGTACACAAACTTTTACTATCAGAACTCAGAACCAAACTTTTATAACAAGATACTTGCACTTAGCAAATGTGTGGATGGTATAAGATGTAAAAAGCAATCATAAAACTATTTTAAAATATTTCAATTTGTAACTCAAAAGATAGCTTTACACGAAGGCAAAAGAAAAAACAGTGAAGATAAAGGTTTATAAGTTCCTCACAGGTCATTAAATGTTTTATATACAAGGGTATCATATTGGAAACCTCAGTGATAGATGATAGTTACTTTCCTTACACTTAGCCAATAAATTCTGTGGCTGTTGAATTTCCTACCGCATCCTTCTACATCAACAGGACTTCAGTTTTCTCCTTCTTCCACCCTCCCTCCTAAAATAAGCATCATGTCACCACAGAACAAACAGCACCTAGGAAACCACATAAGCCACCACAGAAGTGATTGCATTCCAGTGCCTTCCGCCTCATAAAGAAAGATGAAAAGAGTCAAACATTTATTCAGGTTGGGTAAAGGATGACTAAAGGTGGTGGGGGAAAATCATTATTGCCAACAAGTATTTGTATCATTGTGAAGACAAACTGCCCCAGTAGAATCATATAAACATATTAGAGGCTGAAACTACCAGGGTTATAAAACCACACGCACATGCGGCTCAGGCTAAGAGATTCCTCTCTTCTATAAAGCAGCAATCCCCATGTGGCTTACAGCCGAAACAGCCCTGACCACCTAACTGGTGTCCACCAAGGCAGGGAAGCAGGACCAGGCCTGGTCCACAAGAAGTAGGACATGGCACACCAGGGAGGTGGAGGAAAGCCACACTCACCTAGATTCTGAAACAGACGCCTTTCCTCGTAGATGCTGTCAGGGTCTGAAAGTGCTCTCGTTGGTGTGCTTCACCCATTTGTGCTGTGGCCTGGCAGGCTGAGAGCACTGTCTGGCCAGCAGATGTTAAGGGGATTCTACACTATGAATAAACTGCATTTGACATATGCAGTAAGCACAAGCCAAAATACAAAAGTCTGGTCTCAGACAGTCTAGAATTTTATTCTGACGGCCATTTATTAGCTCCTCAACCTGGAGAATGTAACTTAACCTCTGCAGCATCTAAGTTTCTTCAACAGTGAGACATGAAGAACAACAGCAAGTACATTCCCTAGATTTGGGGGTGGGTTAAATGAGGCATCAATGCATAGTACTCAGCACACACCTAGAATATAGTAAGTGCTTAATGAATTAATATGCAATTATATATAATCCAGTCTACCTATCAAAATCCTCACAGTAACTATTGCTATGTTCACCTACACAGGAACAAACAGAGGCAACAGATGATTCAATACAATCCGCATGTGATGATGCATTGCCCACATTTAACGAATACCTGAACATGTATATTTGAACAGTAACTGTTTAGCAACTGGATGCTCAGTAAATTATTATGAACACATCATCACGATGAGTAAAGAAACCAGCCACCATCTGTTTAAGGTCTGAAGCAGATTTGTAAAAGTAAACTCTCATGGAATGTGTCCTCTTTGATACGATAGTAACCAAAAGAAAAAGGAAAAAGGTGCAGAATGACTTAAAACTGGCTTGGGAGCCAGGTCAAAATTAAGATCTGAGCCCAAGTAATCTGGAATCTTAAACATTAGAAATGAGCCCAAAATACTGCTTTTTCAATAATTGAGCTAGCTAGGTAACTGATTTTAAAAATGGAAAGAGGCAGGAAACAGTCCAATATTTACATTTTCGCAGAGATAAGTTTCATGCTTTCGATTCTCTCATTCTAAAAAATCCATACATGTTAACAGTCACAGCTGCCGCCACATAAAACCAAGTGGGCATAGCGATCACTGGCAGCGACTGACTCCTCGCACGACTGCCACAGTCAGCCACTGTCGACTCCACTGGCAGCAACTGAGAAAAAAAACCAGTAATAAACATAAACTTACAATTCCAATTAGATGCAGGCAGAGAGAACACTCCCTGGCTTCACCACATTCACACAGAAATGAGAAACTGGCCCAGGCTGTAGGGCCTGGGGCTCATTTGCAAAAATAATCTGTCGGAAACAACTTGGACCCGGGGCCAGACTGCCAGCAACACTGCACAGCAGAACCAAATGAAGTGCACCAGGAACAATACTCTTTCCAGTTGTTACCTACTGGGGTACCTTGTCAGTGAAACCCTAAGAATACACCTGAGAGCCAGTTACTGCCATTTACAGCTAATTTATTTTTGAGGGAGAATTTCTAGCATTCCAAGGATGCTCAAAATCCACAACCAGAAAAAGACAGCTGGCAGCCACCATGCCTTGTAGCCTCCTTCTCATCTCTATGTATCTGGAATCTTCTGTCTCCAAACTCTCTCCCCTCAAAACACCTCACCCCACCCCATCCAAGCAGCAACCCCAAGGCCAGGAAAAAATCATGATGAGGAAGAAATCATCCTGGACCAGCCAGAATTAGATGTTCTGTCTTCCAGTACCTTTCCAACTCCCTGACACTGCGGGCACACCTGGTGGCTCTACCAGATGAAACCATATCGGCCCTCCTCACTCCACAGAGAGCTGCCTGAGCTCAGAGAAGCTGTCCCAGGCTTTCTCACATCACTCAGAAATAGTGTAACTCCTGCCTCACCAGACAATAAAGCGGAAGGAATGAGGGATGCAATTCAGAATGGGGCTAGGCATAAGAACATCCAGGACAAAGAAAGCACAGCTTGAACAACATCAAGCTGTCATTCTGAATTGGGTGTAAGAGCTTCCTTTTCTGTATATTTACACCTTACCTCAACTGGAGTTCCTACTCCTTCCTACACATATGGAAGTTCTTACTCCTACCTAGGTCGACCAGATAAACATGGTTACCAGTCACCACAAGCATGAGCTGTGACAAAGGGCAAGTGCAAAATCAGAGAAATTTTTAACTTAGAAATTTATAGGGAGGAAAAAAAAGGGAAGCAAATGAACTTCCTTATTATGAGCAACTAACATTTGTAAGTTATCTTCAAGTCCTGAGTTCCATGTTTTAGGTTCCCTGGTGGGTTCTTTTTTCTGTGGAGACCGGTTTCCACATGCTAGCAGATGGAACAAATCAGGAGCCCTG